ACATAATGCTCATTCGTAAGGAAATTACATCATTTTCCGTATCTAAACAATGGTAACTTATCTTAATCAATGTTTAACAGTTTGACATTATAGTTTTCTTTGAATTACCTAATTTCGTATTGGCATTTCAAATTGGTGGCATACTTAACAAATTAAGCCATGGGAAAGTTATTCCAGATCAAGATTATCTTATAGTGGATATCCACTATGAATTAAGCTTGTAACACAATTTTCTCCCAAAAGGCTTGGATTAAAAAGTATATAACTCTAAGCACTATCTCTGAGTTATTAATCAGATGGACTAATAGTACACTTTTTTAAGCAAATTTTGAGTTTAGATATTCTTCTTTTTCACATACATCTGATATTTCAGACCACCAAAGTGATGACTTCGGGTATATAAAGCTATTTACAAATTAAGCAGAGTTTTCAACGAAGGTATCTTCAAGAGTTGTAATCTTAGCATGTTACTCCTCAAGTTAAATTATTTTTATCTAGAGTGAAGTGAAACCAAATCTCTCAACCTTTTCTGATTATGGTCTTCCCATTTTTAAGTTATATTGTTCACCATGACTTTCACTGGGCAAATCAAATAATTTTGGCTTAAACCGTATTTCTCCCTTTCCATTTTAACCTACCGGGGTCTAACATAGTCTGTTTTATCTTTCAAGTAAGCCTATATAAAGTCAATTATGATTATTGTAGATAAATACATAACCAATTTTCTAAAGTTCTGTCTCTTCATGTTCTTTTTTAATTAGTTCCTATCTCCTTAACTCTTATTCATCTTCCAACACATTCATAAATTTTAGACATCACTTCTTCTTACTTAGCTCTATCGGAAGTTGAAAGTTCTTATTCCTTAAGATTAATTATTTTTTTAAAGCATATTTAATTTATTTAGCTTAAGATTTTCTACCTTTATATGCTATAGGTACTCCAACTCATCGCTTCCTTATTATAGCATTAGACTTCATCCTGTCCGAATTACATAATTATTCCTCCATTTGACTTAAGCAAGAAGGTCATATCATACCTCTGCTAAGTAAATTCCCATAAGAGTGATTAATTGATGACTCTATAAGCTTATAAGGAGAATATTATTCCCCCATCTAATTCAAATTAGTGTATACTATAAGTTGATGAGAAGAGGTTTAATAGTAGGAAATACCCCATAAGAATTGTTAGTATATGATTGAAAAATAGATGAGTAATTTAAATTTAACAATTATTTTAAATTAAAGGTAAAATATAAATAATATTTTTATTGCGATTCTCATGACTTATGAATTCTTATAGGGTATATTGTTTCTGAAATGTAAAGATTTGGAATGGTTTTTTATCTAATTACTAAATTAATATTTAATTTAGAAGAATAAGGTGAAAGCTAAATTTTGAATTTGTTATATAAATACTTTAATACAAAATTTTTGTTGAAAAATTAGAGTAAAATTAATAAAAATTTAAACTGAATAATTAAAAAAAATTTAAGCCAAAAAAAGATGGCCTTTATAAAGTTTTGAACTATACTTTATTAAACTATGTTGTGAAAGTGAAATTGACTTTACTTGAAAAATACTTTCTTAAGGATTATCTGTTGGAAGGGAAATATAATAGAAAGAAAAAATTCTTTATATAATTTGAGACTCTTGTTGTTTCAAAAAAAAATTTACATGACCTAGCTGCCTATAAAAATCTAATTCTCTGATAGAGTTAAATCTTCTACAGCTTTTCAACCTAACTTGTTTTTTATTATAAATAAGTTTAGTGAGCCAAATAAGAATCACTTATATCATTAGTATTATATTAAACTTCCATTAAAATGAGCTTAATAATTTTGGTTCATATTTGAAATTTTTCAAATTTCAATCCTTTTTAAGAGAATAGCATATATTTAAGTAAGTTTACAATATATTTTTGAGTTTGGATCAATGGTAATCATAAGGCACAATGTAATTTGCTTCATTAAATATAAATATAATTATTTAATGAAGTGAAATTCAATTATCTTAATAATATTAACTTTAAAGTTTACTCTAATGTTATGTTGCTATTAATTAGAATGATTAAATAATTTACACAATTATTCGAAATTAATAATTATACATATTTTCTCTGATTATCATACTATTTTAGCTATTAAAGATGATTCCTTGGATATTATAAAATGTCTCATAGGTTCTTTGCAAAAGAAATTATTAATTAATCGATTCAAATTTAATTAGCTGAGGATATTTGAATGCCCATTTCTTGTAGCTAGATGGCTTTATAATTAAAAAATGAGCTTTGATTCTTAAAAAATATGCCAATGTATTTCTGACTTTATAAGGGATGAATTTAAATATCTCTAATACGTAAAAAAATTGCTTACAGTTAGTTAAATTTCATGATTCAGCTTCAATAAGCAGAG